GACGAAATCGTGACTAACGGAGATCCGCCGACCGTTGTAGGCTGACTCACATCATGCGCCTAGGACTGCTATGAGCTTAACAGGCATTAGTGTCTGGTGGCGTTTTGGCCATGGCGATTGAGTGAGACATGTATACTAACCTATTTGGTCATTAACTCATCTCCACTTCTAACTGATTTCTGATATCTGTTAAAGCGGATTGCCTCCCTCTCCGTTACCGGACAGTGTGACAGCAAGAGTAAGGCATCCACACATTTTTTTCTCTCAACTGCTGGAAGAGTGCCGTCTTTTACGGACAGTTTGTCCATTGCGCGAGTGTGTTTTGTTCAATCATTTCTAAATGTTCTCATTTTCACTCACAGACCAGATCAAACACGCCAGTAAACACTTGCGTGCCATGATGACAGTCTCCCTCTCCAAATCATGCATTTCAACCGTATGCAATGACTCACAGTAAATCAGCAGACTTTCAGAAGAAGAAAGAGGGCAAATATTGCACACAGGATAACACAGTGATGGCATTAAAGTGTGCTTTGTTGGTGGCGCTAACTACTAATTCACTAGTACAGATGGCTTCTTCTGTCTGAGACGGAGTGATGTGTCAGCAGGTACCTCCGTGATTTACTCACGAAGCAATTTGACCTGGTGAATCAAGCCTGACTATCCCATAGCTTGAGTGGCAATGAGCTAAACAGGCATGAGTATGTGGTGGCGTGTCGGCCATGGCGCTTGAGTGCGACATGTATACTGACCGTTTAGTGTCAATGGTTCATTCCCAACTTCTAACTGCTTTCTCATATCTATTAAAGCGGATACAGACGCTTGTCTGAATCTTGCTAACCCACCTTCCTGATTTCTTTTCTCACTCAGTGTATAGAATAGTAAAATCAAGAATTTTGCTTCACTGGATTTTTCTGGCACAAGCAGTTTTTTTTAGCCGTTTGACTGTCACCTTGCCCCAACGCCCTAATCGGACAGCGCGACGTTAATGGCAAATGGAGACAATTTACTGGTAGGCACCACAATTTGTAAGGACGTTTGGGCTCAAGACCACGGCGACAATTGCCAAATATCAATAATTTAACACCTACATAACGGCGTGTAAATTTGAGCCAACTATGTAGAAACAAGACTAAGACAAGGCGCAAATCGGCTATTGGTCAGGTCATATTCAGCAGGCGGTGAAGCAACTGATAAGGATCCCATGTTTTCATGAGTGTTAACATGGCTTTAGCGATGCCTTAATGCCCAAGATATTTAACTCTTGTTTATATTCGTGCACCTTGTAATAAATTACTGTGCGAATGGCAGCAAATGAAATCCTAACGTGGAGTGTATCACAGCTCCCAGAAACTCATTGCTTGGGATTCCTGATTGCCGCATTACGATATTGCACGAGTGTTAGCACGAACCCGGTTCTGGTACTACTGAGCACCGGTGAAAGAAATCGTGAGTTTACACTTTCGGGGCAGTCGACTGGCCTCATCACATCATGGTTACAGCCCCAGACCATATCTCATGTCAGTCAGTCAATTGGCGTTTAGTCACCATCACATGATACGACGCTTCGCCAATCATAATGAATCGTAAGATTTGACAACCCCATTGGTTATAGAGCGATTTGAGATTAGAGACGCCCTATTAATGCACACAAATCGCCCAAGCTGCTTAGAAGTCACACGCGGAGGTTATTAATGGACGTCAAACGCGACGATTACCAAAACATTCCAAAGTACTTCGAACACCCTTCGTTATGGTTCGGTGAACTCGAGATTTATTTTCACTTCAACGAGATAACATCGCAAACCACCCAGTATTATCATGTTTTGCCAGAACTACCCCACCGTGTGAGAATTGCAGTTCTTGATCTGATTGAGGAAATTCCCGAGCATAAGCCCTACGATATGTTGAAACACGCCGTGATCACGCGAATGAATCAAATCTACGAATTTCGTGCACGTCGCCTACTTCCCAATGTTGAGTTGGGCAGGAGGTCACCATCGGTACTGTTAGCGCACATGCGACGTATGGTTGAGGGCAGGCAGATTGGTGACATGGAACTGCGTCAGGTGTGGACCAAATGCATGCCAGAGAAGATACGGCCCGCCATTGAGAGTTGTACTTACGACACGCCACTGACCAAGTTGGCCGATGTCGCCGACAAATTGTTCGCAAAGGAGCGACTTGTATGTTTAATAAAATCGCAGATGAAAAGTGTCATCTGCTCGAACGCAAATGACCTCACGCGAACACTTCAGAAGATATCTGAGTTACTGGATCGGCTGCCTTGTGATCGGCTTCACCGAAAATAGAGCTCTATTTGCCAGTTTTGACTCGCTGTATTGTAATAACACCTATTCCGGTTTTAAAAAGTATTCAACTATGCTCTTCTGCTTAACTAGTGATGTCCTGGGTGGACTGATGGTGAGGTGGGAAGGGGAATTGTTATGTTGCATTCATTCTTGGTAAGACAAGTTATGGCGCCATGAATGGAGCACACGCCGATGTCATCACCGTGTTATCTTGTGTGCAATAGCTGTTGGCTTTACACTTGTGGAAGTCCAGTGATTCACTGTGGCTCATTGCAGACGCTTCGTATTCATGATTTCGATAGAGTGAGGCTCTAATTATGGCAAACAAGTGTTTCCTGGCTTGCCAAATCTGTACTATGAGTGGAAATGCTTGAGAGGAAGCATTTCGGGTTCAGTATAATACGAACATTTAGCAGTGATTGACAGAGCTGGGAAATTGGGATTTCAGTTCCACGAACGTCAAACCATTTTGTAGGGCAACAGATCGGCAAGTCAAAATTGCCGATTTTTTCTTGGGGTTTGATGTAAGCAAAATTTGCAGACTGTGGTGGCTTCGAGAGGGTCACATGCCAGGTTTTACTTGGACCTCTAGGATTCCTGAAGATGCGTCATTGTTCACACCATTTGTCTAACCACGCCACTTCAACGTATGAGTCACCACGACAACCTACTGACAGCTCACGTTTGTTGATACGTCTTCATCCGCCAGGTCAAAGTCATCCTTTGGCTGAGGCGACAAAATCTCTGCTCGACGTCACTTCAAGCGTCAGACATGGAATCTGTAGTACCGGTTACCAAAGTGTGTTTTCTTGGTTACGGGCACGCGTAGGAGCTTCAGAACACCGAGCGGCAAGTCTACGTGAGTTGCATAGCCTCTAGGAATCGCAGAGTTCGCGATGGCAGCTTATAAACAAAACATTCGCCACTGCACTTTATGCGCACTCAAAAAAGCAAAAATGACTTCTACCACTCGGAAATCAAATTCCACTCTTCTTCGAGCTGATTTTGGTCATTCCTTGAACATGTTGACTTCGTCAGGGTCTACTGAGTCCAAAATGCGACAAGACGTTGGCAAGGAACTTGACTGACTGCTCCAAAAACATTTTTGGTCTGATGGACAGATCAGCTTGGCGATAACTTCAAAAAGCTTCTTAAGGATTTTAGGGGATTTCGTTTTTAGTTGAACTAAACACTCTGATGTCGTCTAGGTAGACAAGGCATTTCTGTTGGAGGAGTCCATGAACGAGTTTCTTCACAACTCGTTGGCAGGTGGATGCCGCGTTGGTCAGGCCCACAATGCGGTCGCAGAACACGTTGACACCAGAGTGTTCTAATACGTACTCTGTCCTCAGGCATCTTGGTCCACGTCTATTTGACACGGGCTGCTTGCCTATGTAAAGGCAAAGATAGCCATCTTCTTCTTGACGAAGGTGACCAGCGGAGGCTGTGTGGAAGAGGCTGTGAAGCCTTGTCTTTACAAATCCTCCATGAGCCTGCGCAGATTGAAAACGAGAGTTGATTGATATGCTGGATAGCATATGTTCTTGCGATGTCCCAACGCGCCCCGTAGAAACATCGCTAAACTGTTATTCAGGATGC